TTAGCTGCGACACATGAATCAAGATGCTATGATTGAAAACATTTTTATTGGCTGAATTTAGGTGTTCAGGCTGATGTTTAACTAACTGGCCTGCAGAAGATAACGAAAAAACAAATTTTAAGACGGGATTTTTTTTTTTATTGAAATTTTCTAAATTTTTGGACAATATGGTCTGATAAAGAGAACATTTATATAAACGTTTAAGCCAGAATGATTTGACATTTAAATATGATTTCCCTATAACTTTAATAAGTATGGAAAAATAAAAGAATCAGTGTTTTTCTTACCGCTGCCGTTTCAGTAAATAAATACTGACTTCCGATGTAGGAACAACCAAAAGTGGCGACTAAAGTCACCAGGAAGTTGAAAACCGTCACCACCACGGTTTTTACCGACCGCACTGAGAAAACAGAGAATAAAACCAGTTTAGGTGACAGAATTAAACTCCTTTCAACGTGAAACAGGATCAAGCATCAGAGTCTGACCTTGATGACCCAAATCTGCCAGCGTTCCATTTCGGTTCATTTCCTGATCATAAAAAAAAAAAAAACAATCATTAAAGTAAAACTGATCCCAGATCTCTGATCCCAGATCAGCGCTGCGCGTTAAAAGGACCTGGGTGTTGACGTTACGCGTCATCCTGTTGTATTCTTCATTGGCCAGTTTGGCTTTGATCTTCTCCAGGCGAGCCACCAACTCAGGGTTCTGAAACGACAACCGCAAAGTCCGACTTCATTAACACGGTTCTTATAAAAAAATTATTCAAAATGAAACGTTCAAACATCTAAAACATCCCGCCTCCTGGACGCCTTGGCTCTTTGGGTCCCCCCGGCACTTGCTTCGGTGCTCTGGGGGGAGGGGCGCGTCTTTGGCTCCTCACAACCACTATTGAGCATTTTTCCCTTTGGATAAACTTTACATGCAGTAGTGCACTCTCACAATCACCTACAGGTGCTTGGCTCCAGGTAATTAAGAGATTCACTTCCATACAGAAAGCCCATATTCTGATCTTCAGGTAACACAGAGTACAGTCCCAGATCAGCTTCTCTGATTGGTTGATGCGGCGCGTCCAGCGGCTAAAGTTGCATTTTTCCAATTCCAGCAGCTGCTGCGTTTGCAGCGCGTCAGTTGCTCAGACACGCTGCACCTGCTCCTGGAAACCTGCTGCGTCCCCACGTGATTCAACGGTAAAACACGGCAGCATTTCCCATTGGCTGCTCAGTAGTAGATTACGGCAGCCCGTTTTGAACTTTATTAGCTTAACCGAATATGTAATCCAGATGTCTCAAATGCATTTCTTCCTTCTCAAAATAAAAATTTTAAATATCTGAAAAGTACTTTTTACTAGTAAACATGACGTCCGTTTCTCATTCATGTGTTTTGTGCTTTTACTTCCAGATATCTAAAATAATATTCTTCTGCTGTAAAAATTAATTCTGACAAGGATGAATTCTAATTTCAAATCTCTATAATAGAATTACTGCTAGTCATAATGACAATGTCAGATATCAAAAATGAGTATAACAATTAGAAATCATGAGTAATTGGACCAAATGGCTTTCCATATTTGCTCTCTGGGCTCCATGGATGCACCATGGGGGTAAATGGACCCATCTCCAGTTGAACATTTTTATTCCTATATTTTTATTTTTAGTTTAACAGCATGAGGCGTGTTGATGATGTCAGCATGAGAAGCAGAGCTGTGTTCTTACTCTGGGAGGCTTCTCTACTTCAGGCAGGTGCAGGGAGCTGTCCTCCAGCAGCTGGTGCAGATAGAAAGGCTGGCCTGTCAAAAACACAATCATTAGATTAGCACTGAAGCCTGTTAGCAACAGGAAGTGATGCTATTACTGAACCTTTGTCCTGAAAGTGTTTCTTCAGTTTCCTCGCTGCGCTGAAAGGCAGGATTGTTGGGTTTTTTCCCAGAATGCCCTGCAGCTCTGCTTTTAGTTCTCCGCTCAGAGGAGAGTCTGAGTTCTCCAGCAACAACCTCACCCGACTTCTGAATTTCTCCCCCACCACAAAAGAAGACGCCATGATGCTAAAGCAGCTAGCTCACGCTGAGGAGACCGTTGCTAAGCGACAGAGCGGCGGAAACGGTTCCGCTCTGAGTTCAGAGACACGCGCAGCTTTTTATTCAATGTCCTCTCCTTTTATGTTGGTGTTTAGCAATAGCGTAAAGCCGACATAACAAAAATGTAAGCCGCCATATTGACTGTCTTGTGACATACTAGAATCACGTGACCAGTGTTGTCGTCTTCTTCTTCTTCTTCTTCTTCTTCTTCTTCTTCTTCTTCTTCTTATGGGGTTTTATGGCGGTTGGCAGACTAGTTAAAGTGCATTACCGCCACCAACTGATAAGGAGTTAAACAAGGAAACAAGACTCACCCCCAGAAAAAATAATGATAATAAATAAACAATATATATATATATATAATACTACTACTACTAATAATAAAGAAAATAATATTTTCCGAAATGTTTAACTTAACCCAACATAATAAATACTTCATCACATTCATCCTCACAATTTCTAATTAATCTTTAAGTTATCGTCACTCTGCCATGTCCTTTGGGTCTCTGCTCCAGAGGTTTGAACTTTTCATTTGCTGAACTGTTGGTTTGGGTTTTTCTGACTGGGATTAAATAATTTTTGCATCTTTAGCAGAACTTATTCTGAGCTCTAATTTCACTTTCCTGATCTCTTCAGATCTTTTACTCACTTTACATCCTTGATATGCAGCAGAATGTTCTCCACTACAGTTATAGCATTTCATTTGAACTTCTTTCCCACATTTTCCATGTTTCTGCTCTCCAGCAAACCTCCCACATCATTGTTTTCCCTTACATGCTGCTGCTATATGACCACATTTTGGCATTTGAAACATGTTAGAGGTGGAGGATTACGGAAGAACATTAGGGCCACTGAAAAAATAAAAAAGGTTACTGGTTTTTAAACTTCATTTCACTATCATATGAGGAAAAAAGTCTGAATTCTGACAGCTAACAAACATGTTAGCATCAAGCTGTAGCCATGTCTGTTTTAGAAACTAACTCTCTTGTTTTAATCACCTTCTGCTCTTCCATTAATTAAATTATAATGTATAAATATTTCACTCTACATGACATGTGACCGCTTTTGATGATGCATTCATGGTCCGCTGTTCATCTGGACCCTCATGTTTCCTTATCGGTATGTAGATTAATAGTCTTTTATTTATTTATTTATTTATTTATTTATTTATTTATTTATTTATTTATTTATTTATTTCAGGCAATTACAGGCATTAAAACATGCAAGTGAATGACACTTCATTAATTCAAACTTATGAGTCATATTATAAATAACAAAAAAAAAAAAAAAAAAAA